GACAGCCTCCTGAAGTGTAAGAGCCGCAAGCAACCTGGGGTGTTTGGAGAAGTCTTGGAGGTGTGCTGGAAAGAATCAGTTTTGCAATCTTACCTCTCAACCGCTTCCCAGCTGTGCCGCACGGGACAATTCACCTCCCTGAATTCATTTCACTTCCCTATAAAACGGACAGGTGCTGATCATAACTGGCATCCTACGGGGCTAAGCAGGTGGCCAAGCTCACCTATCCCCCATGGCATCCTCGCAGCACTGGGGGATCTAGATGGGTCCCAGCTTATTAGCACATTTTCTAGGTGAAGACAACTGCTTCTTGCCTGTCCCTCCCTCAGCATACCAAATTGCTGTGGGGCTCTTTGAGAGGATAGATGTGGAAGTTATTTACCAGTGCCGGGGGAGACAGCTATCTTCCAGGGCTGGAAAATTACTTGATCTAAGGCACGAAATTCCTGGTGATATTCTAAAATCAGGTCTCCGGACTCCAGCTCAAGTGGTCTTTGCAACACCCATCATAGACTCATCTTCTGAGCCCCAGCTCAGTCCTTTCTCCTCCAGTATGGGGTTCAGAGCTGGAGGGATCACCTCCATGGAAGCCCAGAAAACCATGTGCAGACAAGCAGGGAGGCAGGGTCTGGCCTTCTCTTCCTTTTTTCCCTTTTGAGACAGATTCCATCATTCTAGGTAGAGTGCCATGAGATCGTAGCCCACAGCAACCTCAAATTCCTATGCTCGAGTGATTCTCCTGCCTCAGGCTCCCGAATAGCTGGGACTACAGGAGCCTGCCATCATGCCTGGCTAGTTTTTTTTTATTTTTAGTAGACATGGTCTCACTCTTGCTCAGGTTGGTCTCAAACTCCTGGGCGCAAGTGATCCACCTGCTGGGCCTCCCAGAGCACTGAGATTACAGGAGTGAGCCACTGAACCTGGCCCGGTCTTTCTTTCCAGATGGGACTCCCTGTCCACATACCTTCACCTTAGTCCTAAGGACTGTTTCTTGCTCACAGAACAAGTTCTGGGCTTTTCTGTCTGCCTTGCTTACAATATTCTTTCCACTTGTATGTCCATTATCCACCCCAATAATTTCTGTGATTATGTATCACCCAGAGTTTATCCAGTTTTCACTATGTGCCAGGCTCTGTGCTGACCAACTCTTGCTGTCCCAATTAGTCCTCATAACACCCTGTACATGGTATTATTATTATTTTCATTTTACAGATGGGGAAGATGAGGCTTAAGAGTTTGCCCATGTTACACAGCCAGTGTCAGGGCTCTTGCCCTAAAGCTCTGTGCTATATTCCATCTATGAACAATTAAATGTCCCCTCCTTGCTGAAGTTGGAAATGATCTTTTACTAAATTGCCATGACACTTCAATGTTTTTTTGTTTTTAAGACAGTCTCACTCCACCATCCTCTAGACTATAGCATACCATGGAGTCGTAGCTCACAGCAACCTCAAACCCTTGGGCTCAAGCAATCCTCTTGCCTCAGCCTCTCAGGATTACAGGCCTGCACCACCATGTCCAGCTAGTTTTTCTATTTTTTTTTTTTTT